ATTTTTTCAAATTTAGCACAAAGTTTGACTTGGACACAGTGATGAACTGATTAGATTTTGGTGGTTCAAGGTCACTGTGGTGTTGCATCCATCTCAATCTTGTGAACGTGATATCTTAAAGCCGCTACAGGGAACTTTTAACTGGATATGCAAAAGTCTCTCGTTTCTGCTGATGTCTGTGCGTGACCTACAACAGCAAATGAGACCATCAGTGTGAAGATAAGCTATTTCTATATAGTGTATATCCATACCTTTAGGAAACTGTGTCCAGGTCGCCACAGGTCTCTTCCAGGATTAAGCGATTTACGGCACTCAGACGACACACTTCATCTTACCTAGCTGCTTACATTTAGTGACTCTTATAAATAGTCGCTATTCCTCCTCCTCAACCCGACGTCCGCGGGGAGTTAAAATAGCAGCAATCATTGGGTAAAAGTTCTGTGAAAGAACTGGACTCACCAACAGTCAGCCACGTCTCAGTCACACAGAGAAAATCCAATCCTCGGGAAGTCAGGAAATCCTTTAGGATAAACGTTTTGTTTGCTAGCGATCTAGCATTTATTAGCCCAATCCTGGCAGGAGCCGGCGGGTCCAGCTGTCCGGGGAGCCACACACAGAGGCCGCAGGTTGCGCAGATTCACCCTGCGCCAGCAGGGACGAGGAGAGCAGGGGCCGCAGGGCTGGAACACCTCATCCGGGCCGACGACAGGTATCAGCCAGGCGTCAACAGGGTCCAGCGAGTGCCGAGAAATAAAGAGGCGAGGCACCGCTCCATACTCAGTCCAAGAAGCCGTGGAAGTGCTCGCCAAACAGGCCTTCAGCCTTACCAGCCTACTGCTGCTTTTACCCCGGTGGTTGTGGCGCTTATTCTGGAGAGGTGGAGTTGTGGCTCTGCAGAGGTGAGCTGGGATCCCCGATAGGAGCGGGGGCAAAGTTTTCTCATCTTGTTGTTTCATTCATCCCCAAAACAAACACATGCGCGAGCCAGGTAAGCGTCTTTATGACAATACGCGCTAGAGTTCATGGGAAATGTAGGCTTCATTCAATTTCTTTAAATTTGACATAGATGTCCATTTGAACTGAAGAATAAACTGATAAGAATTTTGTGGTCAAAGGCCAAGGTCAGTGCTACTTTACAAAATATGTTTTTGGCCATACCTAAAGAATTCATATGCTAATTATGACCAAACTTCATACAAATGTCTAATAGGATAAAATGATAAAGTGATGACATTTTATATCCAAAAGGTCATAGGTCAACTTCACTGTGACATCGTAATGTTCTGCATAAAACACTTTTCTGGCATTAGTTAACATCATTACTCAGGAACAGTAGGGGAGACATTTGGTCAGGTACTTAATTGGTGACACTCATCTTGAGTGTCCACTTTGAAACTGTGCTGATTGTATAGATCTTCTGTGCTGTTGGGGGGGGAGATGAGTGTGAAACATCCATGTTTTCACACACATGGATGTAAACTGAAAGAGAAATTGAATGAGATGATAAAACCTGATAAGAAACTTGGCGCATGGTGGCATACAACCATGGGGCAGTAATTCTAGTTTTCTTAATACATTGCAGAGCTTTTGAGTTGTCAAGCATGTACATTTGATTTCAATAACTTCAGTGTATTTGAAGTGTACACTGTGCAGCTGTTTTATCTCAGAAAATAGAAGTATAGGATTGGAATTTGGTATCGGCAGATTCTATATGTTATTTGACTTTGATTTGATCGGGGTTAAAAAAAAAACTTGATCAGGACATCTCTAGTAAAAAGGGCTAGGGTTAGGGTAGGTTCGGTTAATCTCTGCCGTAAATGAGAACACAAACTTTCAACATGTGACTCCCAGCTAAAGGTGCTTTCCAAGTGAACACTAGGGTGGAGTTGGAGCAGACCTGATCAGTTGGTTCATCATGTATGACCACCAGCTTATGATCCCCCACTGACATATGGGTCTAGAACCAGCCCCTCAGTCTTTCTCACACTTTGGCAGAAAAACTCTCTTTTTCATTGAAATAGCCTGAAGGACTTAAAGGCTGAGGATAGCAGTGTCTTCTGAAATTTTCAAAATGTGGTTCCTAGGGTGGATGTTTGCACACCCCATGGGACACCTGTGCTGATCTGGATTCTGAAAGGTAGTTGTTGTCCCTGAAATACTGCATTTGATTGGTTAAAAAGGAAAAATACCACTTAATTAGAAAAGGACTGACCCTGAGGGCAGGGACAGTGTATGAGTCCATACAGTGTATGAGTGTTTGAGGCACCATGATGGGGTGAGCTCTTCACAGGTCACTAAAGGGAAACTGCCGATTCAACCAGCTCTGTGCCATTGCATTGTGTGCAGATGAACATTGTTTTGAGTCACTCCTGCGCCACCTGACCCTAACCTTATTCGCACTTGCATCAAGCACTGTGCGAAAGACATTAGGTGCTACAGGGGGCAACAAAACAACTAATGATCATTATCACAATCACGATAATGAATTACTTAAATTTAAGATGAAGAACAACTAAAATATGCACCATAAGCTCAATATAGGCATTGCAATATACATAATTACTCATACAAACAGATGACTGCATCTTTTGTAGGTCACCAACCAACAGCCTGAAGCTTGAATCATTTGTTGAAATGGTCTCATTATTACAATCCACAATAAAAGGCTTGTATTTAAATCCAACATAAGAATCATTTAATTCATATTGGTCAAAACTTTCATAGAGTCTCATAGCTTTTTAGAGTTGGTTAGGATAAAACTCTGCTGTATAATCTCTCTGTGTTGCCTCCTTGCATCTCTCAACAGTTCCTTTTGCACTATTTTCAGTTCCATTCCATTTCGAATTAAAAATATATATATATTTAAAAAAAAAAAAACAGAACTAAAAGACAGTAAATATTGGGCTTACATTCATGGAATGGCCAGAAACATGAAATTGCATGTGCATTGCAATTTTACTACTGTACAGCATTGGGCAAGTTACTCTTAAAATACAATGTATTACATATTACTAGTTACCTTCATTTGAAAGTAATATGTTGCTTTACAATATTACTCTCTGTGTAGAGTAATAAGTTACTTATTACACTACTTTTGTGTTCCTTTCACCAAAATGAGCTCAGAAGAACTAAAGTTAATCTTAAATGTATGAGGGTCGTGTTGTTTCACAGCAGGTAATCAAAGCACAGAATCTCCAGTTTATTACAGGTCATTTCAAATGCAGTGCTGCACAGATCTGACCCATTCATGCATTCACATACAGTAGTTACCACTTTGTATTAAAATCCCATCTTATATTAATAATAGTGTGATTATATAGAACAATTAAATAGCCTGGATCTTTTTAAATAATTGAATAGCCTTAGACACAGGAAGGGTCAGGCAGAGGATCAAAGTCTGATAATTATGAGATATGGATAAATATTTGTTGGTGTATAATACGAAACTCAATAAACAAATGTTAATGTTAGCACAAATGAATACACTGAAGCTGGAAAACCTGCCTGTCAGTTCCCAATTTGCAGCTACAAAAGCACTGGAGAAAGAGTTATACAGAGGGCGGGCACACATTACACCAGTTTTAAAATCGCTGCATTGGCTCCCCGTGTGTTTCAGGATCGATTTTAAGGTTCTTTTATTAGTTTTTAAATGTCTTAACGGTCTTGGGCCATCTTATTTATCTGACCTGCTTTTATCATATCAACCCTCGCGGATCCTGAGGTCCTCCAGCACCAGCCTTTTAACAGTTCCAAAAGTTAGAACAAAAACCCATGGGGAGGCTGCATTCAGCCATTATGGCCCTCACTTACGGAACAGCCTGCCGGAGAGCATCAGGATTGCAGAGACTGTTAATGTTTTTAAGACAAGACTCACCTTTTTAGTTTGGCTTTTAACTGATTTCTTTTACTCTTTTAATTCTTATATTATATGTTATTTTAATTTCTAATGCTTTTAAATGATTCATTTTTAAATCTTTATGCATTTTATTATTATTAAGTTTCTAAATCTTCATTTATTTATTTATGTATTTATTCATTATTATTATTTTGTCTCATACTTATTTTATCTTTGTTTCCTCATGGGGGGCCTCCACGCTGAGAGGGGGGGCCTCCACGCTGAGAGGTGTGCCCGGTCTGCCCGCAGGGTCGTCGTCCTGGAGATCCGCCAGGTCCGGAGGACTGGGGGGCTCCCTATGGCCGTAGGCTGTGACACCTCTCAGTGTGGATGGCTCCCCATATGTGGTTCTTTCCTCACCTGGTTCCTCAGTGCCCAGCCATGTTACTGACTATATTGACCGTGTGTGTGTGTGTGTGTGTATATGTGGGGGTGGGAGGAACGGGTTTTCAGTATGTATGTCATATTTTTGTTGTAAGTTTTTATTCTGTCAAACACTTTGTGCTGCATTTTTAATGTATGTAAAGTGCTACACAAATAAAGTTTGATTTGATTTAGAATGGGACAGTGCGACAGCATTGCTCTGCAGTTGTAGAGGATGTGAATGGAAACATGTCCAACATATAGGCTACTGACATCACCCAGATGTACTGATCACTGGGATGAGGAAAAAACAAGGCCAACTGCTTATCCGCGCTGCTTTCTAGCAGCCTTAGGACACAAAAGCAGAATGAGATTTGTTGTAGATGTTGCAGGTGCCCTTCTATTATGTAGTCTGTAATTGTATATATTTCTTTGGTGGTGCACTGGTGGAAGTGAAGCGGTGTGGATCAGTGTAGATGAATGAAAAATGAAAACAATAAACAGTTTATTTTGGGTGGTAACGTGTTGCGTGTCATTGTAAATGTAATAATATTACCTGAAATCCTGTTGGTAATGCGTTATAATACTTTATCACTGATAAAATGTAATACTGTAATGTTTTACTTTTGTCAATATGTCATCCCCAACACTGCTACTGTGTCTGCTGTAAGTATAAATAGTCAATTATAATATGTTGGATAATATGTTGCATTGGACTGATTTTTTTCTCACTCTTTCCAAGGTGTTCACAGGATCAAAATCCCACACAGGCGGAAGGTACAGATCAAATGTTATTACTGTTCCAGTTGACATTATAATTTATAGATGTTACAAAGCATTGTAAAACACATGTCCTTTTTCATTTGTCCTTTGCAGAAATACTTCATTGTTATGCAAAGTGTGTTTTATCCTGATGATCGCATCAATGCCAGGTATGTTTGATTTGCTTGCCCCTTGAAATACAAAGGATGAGCAGTATGTTGGTATGATTTTAAAATGACAGAAGTAGACAGTGCAGCCTCTCTGTGTTGTTTGATGCGTGTTTTGTGTCGCAGGTACGACATAAAGGGCTGTGAGGTGAGTCGCTGGACAGAGCCTGCACCAGAAGGAAGCCAGATTATTGTGGTTCTCAAAGATCTCAACTTTGAAGGCCAGTACATCACTCTGGGTAAGGAAACAGAATGTGATTTTTATGTGTGCTGTGAGTCATATGAAGCTGTGTACTAGTAAGGGTAGCATAATTGCCCCCCTCAGGCCAATCAGTGTATTGTTTCACACTGAGCCACAATAAATTCTTCTATCTCAACATGTCAAATCTCATTCACATAAAAAACAATGCTGATGTTTTGTGTAAATGCCAGTGGTAACATCTTTAAAGGGCCAGTGTGTAAAATGGGTTGAAAACAGTGACATCAGTGGTCAAATTCTAGATTGCAGGGCTCACTCACTCACCCCTCCCGTCGGGTAAATGACGGTGGCCTCATAGGGACAAAAAGCCTTGCGCACGAGTTTTTCAGGAGTAGGTCTATCTAGCGACAAGGTGAATATTTATTTAGAAATCTAAGCCATGTTACGATATTGTAATGAATCCCTCACGAGCAGGAGACCAGAGGAGCGTTCAGGAAAAAGGCC